CGGCTCCCTCGGCCAATAAAGCGAGATGAGCGCCGCAACCCCAGAGTTGGTCACGACTGGACCTAATGGTCAGGGGTCCCTTTACCTTTACTACCATTTATTATCAGGCCTTCACCCAAAGGTCGCAGGACAGGTCACAACAAATAAAATGCAATATTAAGAGCAGTCTAAAACAACATGTGACAGCAGCCACGAAATTAAAAGACACCTGCTTCTTGGGAGAAAAGCAATGACAAACCTAGACAGCATCTTAAAAAGCAGAGACATCACCTTGCCAACAAAGGTCCGTATAGTAAAAGCTATGGTTTTCCCAGTAGTGATGTATGAAAGTGAGAGCTGGACCATAAAGAAGGCTGATCGCTGAAGAACTGATGCTTTTGAATTCTGGTGCTGGAGGAGACTCTTGAGAGTCCCATGGACTACAAGAAGATCAAACCTATCCATTCTTAAGGAAATCAGCCCTGAGTGCTCACTGGAAGGACAGATCCTGAAGCTGAGGCTCCAATACTTTGGCCACTTCATGAGAAGAGAAGACTCCCTGGAAAAGACCCTGATGTTGCAAAAGATTGAGGGCACAAGGAGAAGGGGACAATAGAGGACAAGATGGTTGAACAGTGTTCTTGAAGCTACCAGCATGAGTTTGACTAAACTGCAGGAGGCAGTGGAAGACAGGAGTGCCTGGCATGCTCTGGTCCATGGGGTCACGAAGAGTCGGACATGACTAAATGACTAAACAACAACAAAACAACATGTAAAAGTACCAAAGAAGACAGGTGCTAAAATGTACCACTCAAGTGTAGTAATTTTTTCCAAATATGCATCTAAATTAGCATGCACAAATGTTATGCCTATTGATGTCCTCTGCTTCTCTTTTTTGATGGTGCATTTCTTTTCTTTTCTTTTTTGCAATGTGCAAGGGGACACCTAGCAACAGAAGGGAATTCTTTACTGTACTGTGTATGGAGCAGCCACTAAGAGCTGCTTCACACATGATAATCCTGTGCAGAAAGATCAGCTTATTGTTACTTCAGTATTTGCTACTGATTCTTCTTTCTGATATATCCAATGGATTCTTTTAGTCATCCTACCACTAATTCCAAATGATGCTCTTATTCCTCTGCATCATCTCCTGTAGGTGCCCACCTGCCAACCCTCACGCTACAATATGAACAAGCCATTACAGTCATGCTGCCCTTCCTTAGAAAAATGTTTTCAGTTAAATTGCATTGTGAGTAAGATACTGCAGCAGAAATACACACCTTCCCTAGAGAGGCTCATGTTACCCTTGAGGGAGAGAGAGAGAAATATTTCATGAGGAAAGATCCAAGAAGAATAGGGAAGTGGTGCAGGAGGTCATGGACTGAACAAATAAAGTTTCTCCCCAATACCCCTTCTCTCCCCAATTCTGTTGGTTTTTTAAAAGTCATTCTGTATGCTATGGTCAACATATGACCTAGATATTGCAAGAGGCATTTGTGGGATGGCTTATTCCACAATGTCATAAACTTCCACTGTAACACAGGAACAGCAACTTGGTGCTGGAAGTGACACATTTCATTCATTAACTGAAATATGTCTGTCAAGCTCTCCAATGGAGCTTAACTAGATATGGCAGACAATTTTCTAAAAGATCTGGACAGCTAAGAATAAATACACCTTATTGGGCTCTGCAGCCAAATGTGTTGCATGGCTCTTAGCAAGCCTCATGCTTAAGTTCCACTCTGCTAGCCTTTTAGGCTGTGAATAATTTTGCTGCAAACACTTTGACCTGCTGATCACTATATGATTTGCCATTTACCTTTGCTTGGGAGTCAGGCATTTCCATTCATTCTCTTGAGTTTCTCTCATGACTTCTGGTAAAGGGAGACCTCAGTGTAGCCCGGCACTCCTAAAAGGTGTTACGTTAAACGTGATTAACATTTGAGCTCAGTCGGTAAACATAGATTTATACCCCTATTTGACATTTTGTGCCAGGCAATTGTTTAAATTAAAAATAATGAGTTCAGCAAGAGGAATTTGTGTGTAGGTAGGTAGGTAGGTAGATGATAGATGATATATATATATATCGAGAGAGAGAGAGAGAGAGAGAGAGAGAGAGAGAGAGAGAGAGAGAGATGATAGGATTTAGGTGCCACTCTTTAATAATAATAAATTAATAATAAAAACCTTCAGGGTGGCTTAAAATACTCAGGGTAAAATGCAGGGTAAAACAACAATTTAAGACTATAAGAAGAGCCCTTCGGGGTACTTCCAAAAAGACCTGTGGGTATAGGGGCGCTATACAAATTTAATTAAATAATAATAATAATCCCCAGCAGCTGACATTTAGAGGCATATTGCCTTCAACAGTGGGGAAACAGGCAGCGAAAACATAAAGCTGAAAATGAAAAGGTATAGTGCCAAAAAGTCATTTACTTCAACAAATCAAACAGGAAGGCATTTTGGATCTTTCTACATTGCATATGGTTGAACTTCAAACTTCCCAACAGCCTGAGCTCCTGTTGCGTCCAATGGGAGTTAAGTCTGCAGTACAAGTCTTGGTGGAACCAAAGGAATTTGCTGGTTTGAACACAGGTAAGACCAAAGAAATGGGACGCGGGTGGTGCTGTAGTCTAAACCACAGATATAATAATAATAATAATAATAATAATAATAATAATTTATAATTTATATCCCGCCCATCTGGCTGAGTTTTCCTAGCCACTCTGGGCGGCTCCCAATCAAGTGTTAAAAACAATACAGCATTAAATATTAAAATTCCCCAAACAGGGCTGCCTTCAGATGTCTTCTAAAAGTCTGGTAGTTGTTCATTTCCTTCACATCTGAAGGGAGGGCGTTCCACAAGGTGGGCGCCACTACTGAGAAGGCCCTTTGTCTGGTTCCCTGTAACCTCACTTCTTGAAATGAGGGAACCGCCAGAAGGCCCTCGGCACTGGATCTCAGTGTCCAGGCTGAATGATGGGGGTTTGCCGATCAGTAGGTTGGCGGTTTGAATCCCCGTAACGGGGTGAGCACTCGTTGTTCAGTCCCAGCTCCTGCCCACCTAGCAGTTTGAAAGCACGTCAAATGCAAGTAGATAAATAGGCTTCCGGCGGGAAGGTAAATGGCGTTTCCGTGTGCTGCTCTGGTTTGCCAGAAGCGGCTTAGTCATGCTGGCCACAGGACCCGGAAAAACTGTCTGCAGACAAATGTCTGCTCCCTTGGACTGTAAAGCAAGATGAGCGTCACGACCCCAGAGTCATCAGTGACTGGACCTAATGGTCAGGGGTACCTTTACCTTTGAAGGCCAAAGAAAAAGGCAATTAATTCTGATTTTTCTTAAGAACCAGCTGTGAGGGTTTCAACCACTAAATATGTGTGAATACATGCAGTAAATGAAGTAGTATGTATATTAATTAAAATTCTGGTGCAACTGAATCCCTGCTGATTCTGCCTGGGGCCGAAGAGAATGCTAAGGCTGGCTGAAGGGTTGGCTTGAGCAAGATACTCTCCGTGGGACCCTTTTCCTTGCTTCTGTCCTTGCTGCCCTGGCCCTCTGAACCTGGCCTGTGGAACTGCAGAGAGAGAGAGAGAGAGAGAAGGCAAGTGGTGGGAACTGCTCTGCCTCCTCCCTGCAGCTAAGGAATTGTAGACTCTGAATTGAGCATGTTACTTCAGCTTTGAAGCATGCAAGTAAAACTTCCTTTCTTTCCCCAGCCACCACTATTTCTTTCACATCTGTTTCTGCATTAGAAAAGAAACAAAAAAATAGTTTGCCCACTCCTGATTTTAAAAGAGAGAAACCCCTGATCATGTGTGGATTTACATTTTGTACTCACTTTAATCTTAAATGCCATCATGATTCTATTTCTGTAAACGCCTTAGAGAATAATAGAATCATACAGTGGGAAGAGACCCTGAGGCTCACCTAGTCCAACCCCTGTAATGCAGGAATCCTGCCCACAGCCGTCCCGGGGGGGGGGGGGGCTCAAACCACCAACCTTCTGGTTAACAGCAAAACACATTGACTCATGGTGCTGCCTGAGGGACCTGCTAATCTAAGAGCTTTCCTTACAATTGAGCTGTACAGTATACACATTTTGTTTAAATAAATATCAGGCCTGAAATGGGGTTTCCTGCTGCTGCCCCAAGGCAGGTGAGCAGGTTTACTGGGGGAACTGGCATGATTTTGCAAAAGAAAAGTATAATCTATATTTTAATGTAGAAATACTAAAATGAGCTTAGTCCTGCCCTGAGGAGAAGAACAGGGATCTGCAGTGACCAGCATCAGCCTGGAGAGACAAAGTGTGCCTGCACTGGCCCAGGTGCTGAAACGGGACTTACGGTATTTGCTTGTGTCCCCATTATCCACTCATCTCTGGCTGGTCACTTGGGATGGGATTCTTCAGCCCTGAGCTTCAGCTCTCCATGTATCGCTGGCAGCAGAGAGGCTTAGTAGGACCTGGAGGTTGACAGCGGGAGCCCTACAGACGTGTGGGCCTTGGGGGTAGCCCCACACCGCCTACCTCTGATGCCAGCCCTGATGAGCTCCAAAAGGTAGGGATATTGCCCCACAATATGATTTCTGATTTCTTTTTCCTTTTTCTATCTGCTTAATTTATTTTCTGCCAAGTCTGCAGTGCTGCAGCAAGTGTGCATGTTAAGTAAGAGTGATTGATTGATTGGTTTATGACATTTGCCACTTGCCTTCTCTGCTTGAAAAGTTCTCAAGGCAACATGACGGATTTACATCGCAGAAAGACCTTACAAAGCCTAATTAAAACTGGTTGCAAAACAAGTAAACATTTTAAAATCTGCACAAGTTTTAAAATGCCAGTTTTGTCCAAAAACATTAACAGAACATTGAGAAATAGATGAGACTCAGGCAAGTGAGTGGCTGAGAATTGTCAGAAGAGCTGACAATCTGTGCTGAAGTAAAAGCCAAATCATAGAATCATAGAATTGCACAGTCAGAAGGGACCCCAAGGGTTGTCCAACTCCCTGCAAGGAAGGGTTCTTTTTGCCCAACACGGGGCTTAAACCCATGACCTGAGATTACAAATCTCAGGATCTGCTGACTGAGCTGCTGTTTAATCTGGTGAGCCTAAGGAAAGGGAGAGCCAGTACCATATCCTATTCCTTATCTTTAGTTATCTTTTTAAAAAAATAAATAAATATAAGACTGCTTTTTAGGCAGAGTTGCAGCCAAAAGAAATTTGCAATCAAATAACATAGTTATGCTACAAAAAACCAACATTTAACCATTAAATATCTGCATGCCATAAACAAAATGAAGTATTTTGTTAAATCAACCTCCTGCAAAAAAGATGGGAGTGAGGGAATGTGATGAGATTTTGGGTGGTTTTAAGGCTTAAGAACACTTAAGAGGTCTGTTACTATCTGTAAAGGTAAAGGTAAAGGGACCCCAGACCATTAGGTCCAGTCGTGGCCGACTCTGGGCTTGCGGCGCTCATCTCGCTTTATTGGCCGAGGGAGCTGGCGTATAGCTTCCGGGTCCTGTGGCTGGGATGACTAAGCCGCTTCTGGCGAACCAGTGCAGCGCACGGAAATGCTGTTTACCTTCCCGCCGGAGCGGTACCTATTTATCTACTTGCACCTTGATGTGCTTTCAAACTGCTAGTTTGGCAGGAGCAGCGACCGAGCAACGGGAGCTCACCCCGTCATGGGGATTCGAACCACCAACCTTCCGATCGGCAAGTCCTAGGCTCTGTGGCTTAACCCACAGTGCCACCCACGTCCCGTTGCCCTTCCTAGCTGACCCCTAATTCAGCCCTAAACAGGATTTAAATTGATCCCTATCTAGGCGCTCTCACAGACAGTCAAGCCCGATCTGACAGCTTGACCAGTTTAACAGCTTCTCACTTTTAAGTTTCCACTTGCTGTTTAGATTGGATGGCACCCCACCCAGTCTGACTGGCTTCTGAGTCACCAGGAGGCAAAGCCCAGGTCCATCCCCTGCAGAAACGGCTAGGTTTGTCAAGTTGGACTTAGCACCATGGCAGTCCTCTCAGCCTCAGGAGGGAGGGAAAATCTCAGTGGAAGCCCATGGGAGATCCCCTCCAAATGCACAGAGTCACATGTCAGAGCAAAAGGGATTGTGTTACCTGCAAAAATGACAAAAGTCACACCAAGAGGAACTTGGGAAACTGGATACCAGGTCAGATTTATCCATCTAGCCCAAAGTTGTCTACTCGACTGGAGGCAGTTCTCCAGAATCGCAACCTGTTACCCTACAAAGGGGGTCTGGAAATGCTCGGGTCCTCTTTAGCCAAAATAAAGGCAGCAGCACTGTGGAATGATCAGCTTTATTGCTTACTGCAGTAAGAACAAAAAAGTCCTAGTGAATAATTCCAAAAGTTGGTCAGGGATACAAAAATTCAAGGCATCTCTATAACATTCTGAATGCATGTTGCCCTCATGCCCAAAGCACTTCAGCAATATTATTGGTTACAGCAATGTGTGAGCAGCTCATGGACTTTCTACCTAACCTTCCAGTTGGACAGCCCATATTAGAAGTCATTTCCCATCCAAAACTCCCATTATCTTCCTGAATCATCTTCCAGCTGGCTCTGGTCAGCCTAATTCATTGGTAGGCAAACTAAGGCCCGGGGGTCGGATCTGGCCCAATCACCTTTGAAATCCGGCCTGCGGACGGTCCAGGAATCAGCATCTTTTTACATGAGTAGAATGTGTCCTTTTATTTAAAATGCATCTCTGGGTTATTTATGGGGCATAGGAATTCGTTCATTTTTCTTCTTCAAAATATAGTCCGGCCCCCCACAAGGTCTGAGAGACAGTGAACTGGCCCCCTGCTGAAAAAGTTTGCTGACCCCTGGCTAATTGATTGCACCAGCCTCTTCTTGACACTGGTATGCATACCTAAACTCAGTTACTGGGGCCCTACAAGAGCTACGTGCTCTCTCTGCTTGCCACTTACGTGGCTGCTTTGGCTAACTGAAAAGCAAGAGAATACAGAGAAGCATACAATACAGGTCGGCACATTCTAAATTGGGCAGAGGGCTACAAACCTGATCTTCAAGAAACAAAAGCAATTCCCACAAGCAATATGAAGACAATAGTGGTGGTCTAATTTTCAGGGTTGCAAGAATTACAGAGGTAAGTGTATGTGGGAATGGTGTGTTGAGATTCCTACACTGCAGGGGGTTAGACTAGATGACTCTTGGAGGGCCTCCCGACTCTACAATTCTATGATTCTATGGTTCTAATATAAGTGAAGCACTTGAGAATTTCAGAGAGGACTATGTAAGTCCTCTCTGGCTAACTAGTTCAATTACTATTCCTTCTGGCAATCTATTGTGCTTACTGGTGCTGATACTCATACCGATAGTGTAATGTTGTAATTTAATGGGCTGAGTTCTGTGCACAGCTTAGCTCCATGTTTCGCAAAGTACGGTGGCTGCTGTGAAATCTGGTCGTGCTGAAGACCTGACAAAACAATGGTGGTCCCTCTGCACCAAGAAGGTGAAAGGTGAAGCTGAGGGCAGAGGGACAGTGGCAGATCTAATCATGAACTCAGCAGTGTACATTCCTATGGATTTATAGGACAAGAGGTAAGACGTTGAATGGCTCAGCCTTGACAAACAACTCTTAAATAATGGAGTGATAGATGGAAAGGACCCTAAAAGGAGCAAAATAATTGAAAGCTCTGATCATAAACTTCACTGGCCTTAGCCTAGGACAACTCCAAGAGCGAATGGGCCAGCAGCAGCGCAGGAACTTTCTAAATCCAGCTCCTTCTGCTTCATCTCTGGGGCAGATATTAAGCAAACTCTGCAGCAAATGTAAATGAGGGTGAGCAGAGTAAAAGAAACATGTAAGGACTCAGACAATGGCCCAGTTCTCACCCGGATGTTAAACCCATGTCTGGTCTGTGCCATTTCATTAGGGTACTCATGTGACTGAATTATCTCTGGCTATTTACCGTAGCTGCTTCTATTTTATGATTTTTATAATGGGACTGATGTGCTGTGCTGTGAGAAGCAGTCATAAGACAAGGAAGATACCTTCATCCTTTTTAAAGGGCAAATGCAACCTACTGGAGGCCTAGTCCCTACTAGCTGTCACTGTCCTGGTTGCCTTTGAACTGCTGTTCTTGAACATTTGTTTGAAGATAGCATCCGCGCCTATAGGCTGTTGGACACGATTGCAGAGGAGAGTGTTCTTGTGCTCAGGTCTTGCTGTGACTTCCCATGGGCGTCTGGTTGACCTCTTTGAGAACAGGATGCTGGAGGAGATGGGCCAGTAGGTTGACCCAGAAGACTCTTCTTATCTATTAAAAAAAAAAAGTTTTATGAAAAACACCTTCATTCAAAGTTATTCAAAGAGGGATTGAGGATTGGAGTAATCATTCTGTGGTATTATGGCAGTGGACATAGCTGAAGTTTCTTAGCTAAGTCACAGGTCATGTAAAGAAAGTCAGAAAAGCAGCCTTCTTGCTTTTTAATTTGTCATATTTAATTTGAGATTTACAGCAAAATACCAAAACAATGTTTTCCAATCCTGATAAATAACAAGCAAAAAATACTTTGGTGTCTGAGCAAAAACACCCCAGAATCCTCCTCTATCCAGCTTCTTCTGTTTTTTCTGCTGCTCTGGGAGTGGCTGGTCAACATTCCAACATGCCTAGCAGCAGCAATTAAGCATCCTCAGCAATGGTGCTCATGCTGAGTGTGGAAGCACTATGTCTTTGTTTTATGTTTTATAACTTTCTTTAGAAATATCCAGTTGACTTGGTTTGCGGGGGGTGTTAAGCATCTGGGATCCCCTAGTAGTATGGGGCTTGGTACATGCATATCTCCTGTACCCTCTGACAGCAGCCCTGCAACACCTGCACACACACAGGGGTATACAAAACAGTACCTGGATATAAGAAAGAGGCCTGACTTAAGTTTCTTGCAGCAATTACAGTACAATTTCTTCCAAGTGTCAATGCAAAACTCTTTCTATGTGTTCATAAACTTTAATGAGGAGGCATGCAGAGAAATACCAGTGCACTTCACTCCCACTGATGGCAGCCCTTGGCAGGACAAGATCCCCTGTTAATAATCACAAGCTATTCTATACGCAGGCTTTCCCACCCACACAGGGAAATTCAAGAGCAACTACTCTATGAAACCACTGCAGATCATTGACGCAGGGCTTCTTCTTATATCAAGCAGCTCAGGGAACAAGAGGCATGGAAAGTTCCTAAAATCTTCATGCTAGAAAATGTAGAAATTATTTGGTAGCAAGTTTAATCCAGCTTGCAGAAAAAGAACTGTTCTCTCATTATCATATTTTCTGTAAATTTGCTGGATGAAGGGCAAAGAAAGTCAATGAAGCTCGTTTTATAGAAGTATTAGGACTAGAAGTTGAGCCTACCTTTCCAGGGGTGGTCAATTTTTATTGGAAAATGATTCTGTTCTTTACTGAGAATAATTGATTCTCTAAGAAGTGAAGTCATAGCACCACTCTCTTCTGCCTTGGTCAGACCACACCTGAAATACTCTATCCACAATTTAAGAAGGCTGTAGACAAGCTGGAAGGTGTGCAGAGGAGGGCAACCAAGATGATCAAGGGTCTAGAAACCAAGACTTATGAGGAACGGTTGAAGGAGTTGAGTATGTTTAGTCAACTTACTTATTGGACCTTATACAGTTCACCTACTAAAATCAGATCTTTATGTAACTGCTTCACATCAATGACTTGCCCTGCCTGGCTGGGTTTCTTTCAAGCAGCTCCCCCCCTCCCCATTTGTATATGTGAATCAGGCCATCAAACCTGGAATTGTAAGCTAAATGCTATTACCTGGTGCCCTGGTATTTTAGAGAAAATCTGTATTTCCTCAGAAAGCCATAATTGAAGAAGAAGGTTGAAAGCATCAAGTTTTTGGATAGATGGCTATATTATCCTACCTCAAAGGGTTGGACTGGCTGATTTCTCATCATTGTTATCCCTGAATTTAAATTAATAGGTAGAGATACTGAGCAAGACCATTGAACCTCCTAGCGCGGTATTGTTTACTCTGGCTGGCAGCAACTCCCTGAAGAGTCAGACACACCTTTTG